GGGCCCTCTGGCATCCCAAGCGAGTTCTTAACCATCGCGCTACTCGGCCGGCCCTCTGTATATATTTTTAATAGGAGGAAAAGGGCTTTTTTTCTCTGCCTCTTGGGGTGATCACTCTCTTTTATCACTTCATCATGGCCTCCCTTTTAATGAGACCAAATACATTAGAGTTTCTCTGGGCGTTCTTGTCTACCTAGGCAAGGAGGAGGGCTTAGATTTTGGCCAGGCCATGTGTGATTGGCTCAGATTAACACCCTATGTTCGTCTTCCTGTATAGGATTTCTAGACCAAATGTAATCTCCCAGCTGGAGCAGAACGAAGAGCCGTGGATCCTACCACTCCAAAATTTTGAGGCAAGGAAGATCCTAAGGGAAAGTCACACAGGTGAGATGTGAATGTAATATGGTGGGAGAAGAATTTGGAATGCTGCCCTAGACGTTTGTTCTTACTGTTAGAAGTTTAAATTTGACCTCTTGGATAGTCAGTAATTGACCAAATGAAGGCTCTTTATTTTTTAAGATTTTTTTTTATTGGGGAGTTGGGGGGAGGGGAACAGCATTGGGGAATCGTGGAAGGGGAACAGACAGATAGACAAATTGCTGTTTTGTTCTTCGGTCTAGTTGTGGAAGACGTCACTTCACTGGCCCATGTTGGTATGATCATTGTGCTCTTCCCGGATGAGGCAATCGGTCACCGGTCATTTGTTGGCCGCTCACAGCGGCTTCCAGTAGCTCACACTGGCTACCAGCTGATCACGCTGGCTGCCAGCCACTCACGTAGCTCACGGCAGCCCACTACAGCCTTGCTGCAGCCTACGCTGTACCCAGCAACTCACAGCAGCCCAGCTCCAGGTCGAGCTGTTGTTCATCATCTTAGCTGTAGAGGGCGAGCATCACTGGCCCTCAATGTGGGATCCGAACCGCCGGCCTGCTGCTCAGAGCTGGTGCTCCCAAGCGAGCTCTTAACCAGCTGAGCCACTCGGCCGGCCCATGAAGGCTCTTTTTAAGTAAGCACTTCACTTTTGTTTTTAATATAACATCTTAGAAAGGAGTTTCCTAATTTTGACACTATGTGGTATACTCTTGAAGGATATAAAGGTCACCTCAAGATTCTTCTAGCCATCTTAAAATAAAAAGGGTTTAGGAATTCATGTTTTTTGTAAGCTCAATGAACTTCAATAAACTTTTCACTTTGTGAAAACCAAAGTAGTCAGTTTAAGTATAGTCTGTTGCAAAAAACACCGATTTTAGTCCTTCTTGCTGCTTTCTGATGTTTGTTCCTAATAATGGATAGCTTTATTTTCTGTTACTTCTGTGAATTTTTCAGACTTCGAGAGTCAGGTGGACAGACTCAATCACAACATTTCTAAAACAGCAGAACAGTGTGGAACATCCTCAGAAAGGGCCAAAAAAGATATTGCACATACTCCCAGTTGGGGAGGAAGCTGGGAGAGGGGCCTTGAATTAGAAGGACACCATGGAACCCTCCCAGGAGAGGGCCATCAGGAGCCCTTTTCACAGGACAAGAACTTAAACAATCTCCTGGATGGATACGTAGGAAAGAAGCCTGTGTGTGCAGAATGCGGAAAAAGCTTTAACCAGAGTTCCTATCTCATAAGACACCTAAGAACCCACACTGGCGAGAGGCCTTATAAATGCATCGAGTGTGGAAAAGGCTTCAAACAGAGTTCCGACCTTGTCACCCATCGCAGAACACACACAGGAGAGAAACCCTACCAATGCAGTGGCTGTGAGAAAAAATTCAGCGACAGCTCAACGCTCATCAAACATCAGAGAACCCACACAGGTGAGAGACCCTATGAGTGCCCAGAGTGTGGGAAGACTTTTGGGCGGAAGCCACACCTCGTAATGCACCAAAGAACCCACACGGGAGAGAAGCCCTACACGTGCCTCGAATGTCATAAAAGCTTTAGCCGAAGCTCAAATTTCATCACCCATCAGAGGACCCACACGGGAGTGAAGCCTTATGGGTGTAAGGAATGTGGGGAGAGGTTTAGCCAGAGCTCAGATTTGATTAAGCACCAACGAACCCACACAGGAGAACGGCCCTTTAAGTGCCCGGAGTGTGGAAAAGGTTTTAGAGATAGTTCTCATTTTGTAGCTCACATGAGCACTCACTCAGGAGAAAGGCCCTTCACTTGTCCTTACTGCCACAAAAGTTTCAGCCAGAGCTCACACCTGGTCACGCACCAGAGGACACACACAGGTGAGAGGCCTTTTAAGTGCGACAACTGTGGAAAAGGCTTTGCCGACAGTTCCGCCCTCATTAAGCACCAACGGATCCACACCGGAGAAAGACCCTATAAATGTGGCGAGTGCGGGAAGAGCTTCAACCAGAGCTCCCACTTCATGACTCATCAACGAATCCACTTAGGAGACCGGCCCTATCGATGTCCTGAGTGTGGCAAAAGCTTCAATCAGCGTTCCCATTTCCTGACACACCAGAGAACACACACCGGAGAAAAACCTTTTCATTGTACTACATGTGACAAGAGCTTCCGTCAGAAAGCACATCTTTTATGCCATCAAAACACTCATTTGATTTAGGAAATAACCTTTAGTGGTTCTGTTGCTCCCTTCCAAATTTCCATTGCTGCCGTCTTCGGAGTGTCCCAAATAAGGAAAGACCTGAACCTGGGCAGTCAGTGGCTCAGGTTGGGGCCTAATCTGTTCTCTCTCTCTCTCTTATTTTTCTATGTTTTAATGGTGAGGATAAACCTATGGCGTCCGAATAATGTTCTGAACACGAAAGGCATTCCTTCATTGTGTTTGACTAACTCTTAGGGAAACAGGAGTTTAGTGGTTACTAAAAGAGAAGTGAGCTAGATGTGACCTAGAGATCTCATTTAAGCCGCCTAGTACAGTGCCTGCTACAAAGTAGGTGCTCAGTAACTGAATGGTCTCATTATCACTATAATGACTAATATTTGAGATTTTATATAAAGCCCTCAATATAGCACCTGGCCCTTAAAAGACACTCCTACAAGGTTGGTTGCTTACATCAGCCGTATTTCTCAGTAAGGGATTTATTAGTGCAGACCTGTAAGCCCAGGACTTATAAGAAATTAGGTTGGTACGAGAAGATCTGGGGTGTGAACACACGGATTTGACAAAACAGAAAACACTCTTCCAGCCCAGTGCTGTGCAGGCATTAGTCACCGGATGTCTCATTGCCGTGACAAGGCAGAATTATCCTAGGGGATGCTTGCAGTCCTGTGACTTAGAGGCTGAAAGAATTTCAGAGGCTCTTTGTAGAGCAGTGTCTGAGGTACTCCCAATTGGAGGGTTTGCTGCGATCTGCACAGGAAATATCCGGTGACAAACAAGCCAGAGGGACCTGGAAGAGGACTAACACTGCGGAAGCAAGTTGCCTGCAAATGTTAAATGATATTACAGGGATCTTTCCTGGCATTCAGCTGAAGGGAGCAACTCTTGTTTTCGAATTTGCTGGGTCTTTGGCTCTTTAGTTTTAAGTTAGTGTGACTTTGGTCCTTTTAGGGTCATTTGTTTTGCTCCCTAGTGTATTCCTGTATTTAATTGAAATACACTGAGATAGGACAGCGTGTTGGAAAGAACACTGGCTTTATTGAGAAGGTGGGGTGTTTGAGTCCTGGCCCTGACACTTCATTTGGCCAGACTTCCACCCCCTCTCAGGCCCTCTGCTACCTACCTGGCAAGGCTGTGAGAACCTAATACACACCTATACACAGGCACGCAGGCACATAAGTACTTTGTTGTTAAACCACAAGGTGTCATATCTCTAAAGTTTAACGTGCTAGTATTGTTGCTAATGTCTTCTTTCCAAGGAACTCTGGCTAATATTTCTCCAGATGTCCCATTTTCTCTCATAATGAGGGACACGTTATTTTTGCCTGTTGAAAACCGAAGGCCAGAAAATGCCAAACGATTCATTATGGGTCACATAGTTAACAGAAGAACCAGAACTGGGCTGTAGGTCTCCTCTTCAGCAACATGGAACAGACTAGCTCTGGGATTCGCTGGTGCCTCTGAGACCCTACAGGACTGGAGAACCCATCTTATATCCATCACACCAGTCTGAATTTGGAAGTGATGGAGGGTTGTAGCTTGAGTTCCCGGGAGCTTTACAGGACCCTGGGCTGGGGGTCCTTGATCCTCGAGGAGTAAGTGTGGACAGGTAAGGGCAGATGCAAGGGGTGGAAGGGGTTAAGGAGGGCGTTGGGTGTTGAACACTAAAGAGAAAAGTGGTTGCCTGAAGGCTTTTCGTTCCAAGCCTCCCTGTGGTGATACAGACTAAATTATAGTTCGTTTTCTTCCACTATAGGGAATGCCGTCTGAGTGCTTATGGGGACCAGAGTTCAGCTGATAACCTAAACTCTTTTTTTGACAGGGTCATTAGGTAATGGACCAGGAAAAAATGAATCTGGTTAATACAGTGCAGTGGTTCTCAAAGTGTGACCCCAGATCAGTGGCATTAGCATCTGGGAACTTGTTAGAAACGCAGATTCTAAGTCCCTACCCCAGACTTACTGAATCAGAAATTCGGAGAGTAATATACGTGAACTCCAGGGGTACCGTCTCTCCAGGGGTGGATGTGTTTTTGGCCAAAGGTAGGCTGTGGAATGAGACAGTATGGAGTTGAATACGATACCCCTCAGAAGAGACATTCTGAGAATTTTGCACTGGATTAATGAATGTAAACTGTCCTGGAAATGTCCCACAAGAGGGAGCCAGTTAGAGGACCTAGAGGGACACAAAAGCTACATTATTAGCACAAGCAGACACACCCCTAACCCCAGCTAGGAATGTGCTGTGAGCTCATTGTCTGTGATTCATTCTAGATTTAGGAGGCAGGATGTGGATGCAGCCCCAGCTTCCGGTTTTGGTGTAGTTATTCACTAGCCAACTGCCTTTGGACAGGCCAGTTCATCACTCTAGGCTTCGATCTGCCTGTTACATCAGAAAAAGATCCCTCTGTCTCTATCTGACACTTTATAAACCTGGGGCTCTGACAGACCCCACTACTCCAGCGTTGTGAGTAGGTCCTTCCCATGCACCTTCTCGCTGAGAGGATAGAACCAGGCAGCCTATAGCCTGGCCCTTTCTCCATCTCCTACCTCTCAGCCCTCCCCCAGGCTCCAGAGGAGAGGGGCAGCCTCATAGCTGCCAGCAAAGGTAGCACATTACTCCCCAACTAAAGACCTCCCCAGCCTCCAGCGCCCCCATCCCAACTTCCTAACAGTATTTAACAGATACTTGTCACTGGCTTGTAGCATAAGTTGAATCTTCTTCTACCACCTCTTTTTCATGTTGTATACCTACAGATGTGTCTATCCTATGAGACGTGAGCTCTTGAGGGGCAATGTGTCACTTGCTTTGTGGCTCTGCCACCTCCCTCCCACCCCAGCCATGAGCCGGGAATACTTAAATGGTATTGGTGAGAGTAGAGGTAGCTGACTTGCCGTATTTCCCCTTTGTTCCTACCCTGTAACTGGGCCGTTAGCTTCTTGCACATGCTGCCCACCTCTCTTCACTTCAAAATTCATGTCATCACCAAGCCCTGTCAATCTTAGCTCTCAGACCTACCAGCCTCTCCCTCTCCACTGCCACTCTCTAGTCCCAAATGACCGCCGTCCCTTATCTGAATTCCTCCAGTGGCCTCCCAACCGATATCCCAGATTTTATTTTTGCTCTAATCTTCCCACAGAAGGCAGAGTGATCTTCAAAACCCTGAATGGAATCACATCACCTAGGTGCTTAAAACCAGCAGCTCCCATTGCTTTTAGGATCACGACCCAAATCTTTCAGCAAGCTACCAGGCCCTGCCCCAGTTATACCCACACGCCACCCCAGCCTCTTCTGATATCACCTTTCCCCTCTCACCGTGCTTCAGCCCACCTGCATTCTTTCTGGTCCTTGATCACACCAAGGGGCATGTACACCTCAGAGCCTTGGTACTAACTGTTCCCTCTGCCCGGACTGTTCCTCACCCAGGGCGTTGCTGAGGCTCCTATTTGTCAACCAGGTTTCAGCTTAAAACTCACCTCCTTACAGAGACTTTCTCTGACTATTCCATCCAAATTAATCCTCCTCCCCAACAGTCCCTATCTTATTATCCTCTTTTTTTCATCAAAGTTTGTATGCCTGTCTGATATTTTCTTGTTTACTTGTTTATTTTGGTACATTCCATGACAGCAGGGAGCCATTTCTCTTGTTTACCACTCTTTCCCTGGCATCCGAAACAATGCCTGGCACATAGTAGGTGCTCAGTAAATGTTCATTGGATGAATTAATGCGTGCATGCTCACAGACAAGAAACTCACGCTGGAAAAGTGAGTTGTGCGATGATGCCAGGCAGGTGAGTGAGGGTCACACCATGAAGGCTCTTAGTTGTCAAACTGAGGAGTTTGGATATTATGGTCTGGGGAACGGGGTGTCACTAATAGTTTTCCGGTCGAGGAGAAGCATGATCGGCACTTGAGGAAGTTTGAGTTGGCAGTTATGTGTCAGTCATATTACAGAGAGGAAAACTGAAGGCATTGAGACAATCCATGACACAAAGAGCTTATCACAGTGTCTGGCCCACAGTACATCTCCAACAAGTGATCGTTGTCCCCAAGCACCATGGCAAGCACTCGGAGACACCAGAACAAAAAGGCAAGATCACGACATCTTTCTACCTCAAAATAATTCTTCCTAAACCCTACTATCACGTTCCTTCCCTTCCTCTTTTTGTCAGACTCCCAATAATATGTAGTTATTCTCAGAGCTATCACGTCTAGGCTCTTGGAACAGCATGCCTCTAGAATTTGACTCTGAAGGGCCTCTGAATTCCCACATCTGAAGGCCTCCTGTGAGTCTTCTTCCCATTCAATAACCGTTTATTTTTTGATGCCACTTACACGTGCTTCTTCTCGAAATTCTCTTTTCCCTTGGTGGCTGTAAGATGGTTCTTTTACACTTCTGGCTACTCTTTGTTAAGTGTCTTCCCTGAGTTCTCTTCTTCCTCTCACATGTGCCTCATACCCCGCCCCCCAACATTTGGACCCTTGACCTTCTTCCTTGCTTCTTTCTTTCCTGTTTTGTACACTAAGCTTATGACTTCAACCAGCATCTCTCAGAATATGGGTCTAGCTCAACCTCGCTACTGAATTTTGTATGTGCAAGTCCAGCTGCTTTGGTGGACCCTCCTCAAGGATGACCTGTTGCTTCCCAAACCCAGAATCTCCAAGTGATAGTCAGCATCTCCTCCCAAAGCCTCCCTCCTGACATTTCTCTTTCTGCAAATGACTCCGGTGTTCTACCTGCCCTTATCAGAAACCTCCTGGTCAGCTTAGATTTCTCGTTCTTCATTGTTTACTGTGTTTCCACTGGTGCCAAGTCACATAGCTTCTGCCTCTATAATGTCTCTCTCGCTCTTTTTTAAATTGTAAAAGCAACATGTGCTTTCTGTAAATTTTTCAAAAAAAAAAAACCACCCAAAAACCAAAAAACAAAACCACACACACAAAAAACAGAAGTGCCCAAAGTAAAAAAACAATGGAAACGTCTGTCTCTTCCTAATTCCCCCCACCACTCTCACTCCCCAGACCTCAGCTCTGTAACGGCCTGGCATGCCAAATCCAGGTTAGCTCTTTTCCATCCCCACTGCCACCATCTGAACTAAAGGGATGGCTTCCCATCTGGTCTCCTTGACTTTTCCTGTTACTTCAACTCAAATATTTATTGAGTACCTATGACACACCAAGTCCTACACTGGACCCTGGAGGGACAAAGACAAATAAGACAGTGAAAGAGGGCTGCATTTAAGAACTGTTGGCCTCTGGGCAAGTTACTTACTCTCTCTGACCCTTATTTCCTTATCTGTAAAACGAGGATAGTCCCAGTACCTTCCTCATGGGGTTGGGTGAGGATTACTGAGATGATGTATAGAAAGCTTCCTTCAGTACCTGGTATGTTGTGTCAGTGACAACAATGATAATGATAATCTTTGTCTTGGGAGAGTTTTGAAGAATAGGGATTATTTACATGAAGAAAGATGAGAAACTATTTTTGGAAAAGGAGAGACAAGCAGTTTAACTGAAATTAAAAGGTTGAGGTAAAGAGTTGGGAGACTGAGGGGTAAGAACTTGGACTTTCTCCTCTAAATATTTCTCAAAGTGTGAGCCAAGGACTACCTGCCTTAATAGTCTTACCTGGGGTGCTTGTTCAAAATGCAGATTTGAGGGCCCCACCTCTGACTGAGTTGGTGAATTCACATAGTGTAAAAATAGACTTCAGGGAAAATGAACAAACTTTAGTTAAATACATCAACACAGATAAGCCTCAAAAACTCAATATTGAGTGCAAAAAATAAGATACAGAAAAGTACATGTAGTAAGGGTCAAAATGCAATCAAGATAAAAATAGGCGAAACTCAACTCTATATTATTGGGTTGTCGGAAAAGTCATGATGTGTTTTTCCTATGTTTTTCATTGCAAAAATGCGTCATGACTTTTCTGACAACTCAGTACTTGAGCAATGAGAACCCAATACAGACTGTCATAAAAGCATAAAAGGATTTATCAAGTTCAGGGTAGAGGTTATCTGAAATGGGGAAGCAGAATGCTAAGTTTCTATTTCCTAATCTGGGTACTGAGAACACAGGATTTTAAAAATTATTATTCTTTAAATTAATATGCATTATTTATATAGTTTTTTTTGTTTTTACTTTTTATTTACAAGAAAAGAATCAAAAAGGAAATAGGAAAACAGAACACCCTTCCAAAGACTGACCTTTTACACTTAAATCTCATAAAGTTGAGTTATACTAAGGAAAAAAAAAGACAATTCAAGTGCCCAGGCCTGAACAGACAGCAGACCAATCCCTTTCATTCTTTCTCAATCACACACTCACACCTTCTCATTTTTCCTTCAGCTAAGAAACTAACCCTCCCCGTATGTAGTACAAATAAATGTCCAGAAGATTACACAAGCCCACCCTTCCATACTCAGCCAAACTTGGACCTCCCGTCCGAGTGCAGGATCCCCTTCTACATTAACAAAGCACTAGTGAAAACTTTTTTTTTTCCTTCCTGAAACAAATGTTTCCACAATTTAGATTATTTCCGCAGGGTGTGAACATTTTTACAGCTCTTGATATTTGCTGCCAAATCATTTTCTGAGTGAACTGTACCAGTTTACAACGCTACAGCAATAAATAGTACCAACTTCACCACACCCTCATCCTTGAAAAACAGTTTTGCTAATTTGATAGGATTCTTCCATAGTGCTTTCATTTGCTTTTCTTTGATTAGCAGTGAAGTTGAACATTTTTTCATATGTTAGTTTCTTTCTTGTATTCCTTCCATTGTTTGTCATTTGTGCACTTAAGAGTATAGGATCGGAATAAAAAAACTTGATTTTTTGGCTTCAAGGAAGTCACTTTATTTCCTGCTCCCTTCTTCTCCCCTCCCTGCTTTTTACTTTTCTACCTCATAAGTAATACATGTTCGATTTAGAAATATCGGGGAGTACACTTCAGCAAACAAAAAAAGTAAAATCACCTGTTATCCCACCTTCCAGAGATAACTACCACCGTTTAGCGTATATATACTTTTAAACATTTTCTCTAACAAAAAAATATAAATAATATCACCTAACCTTTCGGAGCCTGTGTCCTCATCTATTAAAAAAATGAGAATACTTTCTCCCAAGCTGACAATTAAAAGAGCTGGTATCTGCTTTATTTTTTAAATTCAATATGTAAGATATACAAAAGGTATACAGCGTAGTGCAAAGAACATCCATATACCTACCACATAGCTTAAGAAATAAAATTTTGTCAACCGAAAAACAATCTTTTTACTGATATACTTCAAGGTTTCTGTGAACCCCTCCCCAGTTAAAGCCCCTTCCCCAAACCATAGTCCCCTCTCCTGAATTTGGTGTTTCTCACTCCTATGACTTCACATTTATTTACACATCCTCTGTCTTTATATTTATAGAGAGATATCGGTATAGATTCCCTAAGCAATGTATGACATTGATTTGCATTAGCTTGTTTAAACTGTATATGAATGGGTATCAAGGTAAGTATTCTATATTCCCCCCCTCAATATTATGCTTGTAAGAGTCATCCATGTCATGTAGTTGTTGTACTTCGTTTCCCTGCTTTCATATTCACTATATAATGACACCGCAATTTATCTGTTTTCCTGATGATGGCCATGTAGATTATTTCTGAGTTTTGTTGTCACAGGTATTTCTGCAATGAACATTTTGGTTTGTCTCTTTGTGTAGGAGTTTCTCTGGGTATATATACCTGGGGATGGACTCCTGAGGCCATAGGTTAAGTGCATTTTGCATATTGCCAAATTATTCTCCCAGGTAGTTGTACTAATTTCCATCACCAACCGTAGTGTCTAAATATCCCCTTCACTATTCTTCCTTGTCGACGCTTCGTTTTGTCAGTCTTTAAATTTTTTCCAATCCGACTGGCACGGATAACATTGCAGTGTGGTTTAAATATGCACCTCAGATTGGCAGGGAAGTTGAACAGCTCTTACAAGTTTATTGGTTGTTCATGCTGCCTCTTCAGGGAATTCTGTGCTCATCAAGTACTCATTCCTCAAAGCCCCTTTAAAACGCTCCCTCTCCATGAAATATTTCCAGACTTCCTCCACTAAACAGATGGGGTCTCCTTTGGATGTCTATCACTCTTTCTTCATCTTGGATTACACTCACTTTTTATTTCATCTTGTACAGTCAATTGGGTACTTGTCTAAGGGGCAGAGACTATGTTTTTTTTTTTTGTTTTTTTTTAGCTGAGCCATCCTGCTACCTATTGGCAGCTTAGCGGCTGCTCAGCTCGGGCTGGCCTCGAACCGCTGTTGCTCAGAGCTCAAACTCTTGAGCGAGCTCTTAACCAACTGAGCCATTCGGCCGGCCCCCGGCAGAGACTATGTTTAACTTAACTTTATGTCTTCGTTAGTACCTAGTGCAAAGCAAACATTTCCATAAATCTTTGTTGAGTCAAATCATCCCCCTCCCCTGCTTATAAAATCCTAAATAGTGTCCTCTTCTCTACAGAAGAGAGTTGAATCTCCTTAGTTAATGTAGAATTTAAGACCCTTACATGGGCTCTGGCATCACCTTTTTTTCCCTCTCTCTTCTCCTGGTATGACCCTGCCTCCTGCCCCAGATACTAGATTCTTTGTCCACAATGAGGTCCCAGTCTGCAAATGTTTGGCTTTCCTCCCTGCAGCTAGGATGGCAGGTCAATCCCACCTGTTTTAGCTGCCCATCAGATTCTTTAAGAGACATTCTAGGGATCCTGCAGCCAGAAGCTTAATTTTATTATTGAGCAGAGCTTTTCCTCTGAATCTATCATTTGCGTACTAAGTACAGGTTAGCTATTATTACTAGTAACCCATCTTCATCCTGTGGATGTTTAAATGCATGCCATGAGGGAACCCTGCCCATGTAGGCTTGTCTCAGGATCCGGTCCTGTGAAGGCGTCTGGTATTCTTTTCCCCATCTGCCTCTCTTTTTACATACTTTGATCTGGCTCATGGTTCCTAACTATGTCTCCTGATGGGTCCTTATATTTATCCTTTGTCTTTAGGCTTGAGTCTGCAGTAGTGCCTGTGGTCTATTGTAACCCCAGCCCAGAAACTAATGCCCCCGACTCCATTCTGGGCTGACTTCCTGGCTTCTTTCCACAACTTTCAAGGGGGATCTTGGGAAGAATCTGCTTCTAAGTTCATTTAAGTCATTGACAATGAAGTTCCTTGCTGTTGTAGATCTGAGGTCCCTGTTTCCTTGCTGGCTGTTAGCCAGGGGGTCGCTCTCTACTATTCAAGACTGCTCTCTCTGGTCCTTTTTGTGTGGCCCCCTCCTTTAAAACCATCAAGGGCCCATCACTACCAGCTGGAGAAAACTTTCTGCTTTTAAAGGACTCATGTGATTACCTGAATAAACTCCCTATCTTAAAGTCAACTGATTAGTAACTTTAATTACATTGACAAGATCCCTTCAAAACAGCACCTAGACTGGTGTTTGATTGAATAACCAAGGATTGGGAATCTTGGGCAGCCATCTTAGAATTCTGCCTACCATAGCATAGCTACAATCTCCTGAAAAGCTATCTCTTGAGGTCCTTGACACTTGATCTTTATGAGTGTTGAGAAGCTATAGCCTTTTTTACAAGATGTAGATATCCAAAGCCCTATATATTCTCATACAAGACAAGGGACCAAGTGAGTCAAAATGTTACTGTCTGTCCTAGGGAACCCACCCTTCCAGAAAATGTCTACATAAACTATACAAAAAGCAAATTTAAAAATTCCAACAGCAAGGATGCCACATTGTTAACTATTCACACTGAATTTATTTACCCAAATTTCTGTGGGTGTTAATGACCTGTCTGGGAAGATGGACAGGTAAATAACTAATTCTAATTCAGTGAGCTATATATAATAGAGCCAGCTAAGGTCACACACTTCCTGGAATTGAAGATGCCTTTGATTGTGGGATACACCAACAAATTCCAACAGCTTTTTGGACATTAAGAATATCCTCTCAAGTGTTTGTTTTAAAAAACTTGATTGACAGTAGCAGACATTTATCACTGGAATTAGTTACTAGCCTCTTCTCTAACTCATTGTTGGAGCCCAGCATTTTGTGAAGAGCCTAACTGTATTGGGATCCACTCAGCCATCCGTAAAATGTGAATCTGTCATCAATTCTAGCTCTGAAAGTTCTTTAACCTTTTCTGAGAATTCAGTTAAATTCACACATCTGCAAGCAATGACAATTGTTACTTTTTCATGGACTTCTCTCTCTACCTCATATCTGGCTAGTTTCTTTTAATACTGATTTCAGAAGTATTCAAATGTGAAAAAATGTGGGACTTATTTTTGAAGAGATATGGTTTCTAAAATGCTATTGGGAAATACATGAGGAAGTGAGTAATTTAGCTTGGGGGAGGAGGTGACATTTGAGTTGGGTCTGGGAAGTTGAGTAGGAATTTCCCAGGTAGATAAGGGGCTAAAAGGTATTCCAGGCCCAGAGAAACCTAGTATGGTGCTTATCTGAAACTATCCTGTTAATATTACTCCATTCCATGAGTCAGTAAATTCTTGAGGTCGTGAACCAATTCTATGTCCCAAAATTATTTTCCCTTTTGATTTTTATTTATTCATTTCATATTTACCAACTTTATACTTACCACAAAATAGTATTGCAAGTAGCTCATTGTACAAAACTTGGAGGAAGCAAATAAACAAATACCACACAAATCCACTGTAAGTCCACCATCTGGAGAAACAACTATTAATACATTGATGTATATGCTTCAGGGCTTTTTTCTATTCATATGCACTTCTGTGAATACTTTTACAGCAAAAATAGTATCATAATTTGTTATTTTCACTTAACCATCATGTTAGAAATACTGATCATTGTTTGCCTACCCAGCCTACCGCTGAAGTACTGCTCAGCTCATAGTTTTCGAAGGCTGGTGTATCTCCTGACCACAGAAACATACCCATGGGGTGAAAAGATGAACTAGGCCAATTATATGCCACTGGGTTATGTAATTGGGCAACTGAGATTATCCTCAATGGAGCTGATGGTGTAAGGATGCCATGGCCTTGACTTAAGGCTATGGCAACCCAAATAGAAGCCAGGGTTTTGGGGGAGCGAAAAAACTTGGAATGGAAGAAACTGGCAGTCAAAGAGAAGGGGGTAGAACAGACCCATGGAGAAGCAGAGATGCCCAGAAGGACAAACAGGCAAATCACATGCCTTCAGTCTTCCATTAGTCCTGTTTTTTGTTGCTCCAGTTCCAATCCATATGTATCTTTATTATAAATGCCTTCCTTTCACCCATTTTTCCTCTAGAGGTAAAACAAGTGGGTCTCTCTATTCCTTATAACGAGTCAAACCTGACCAAAACCACACATTGTTGCTGTTTTATGAATGTATGTCATTCCATTGTGTGAATGTGCCATCACTGATTAAAAAACCCAGTAATGGGCTTTTAAGACATTTCCAAAGAGCATCTTCATCACTAATATTTGCACTTTAAAAAATAATTTCGTTATGATCGATTCCAACAGGTGGAATTCCTTGTTTGAAGGAGAGCTACATAATGCTAAGTTGGACTTCAGAAAGCTTGTGTCAATTCACAACCCCAAGCAGGGCATGGCAGTGGTTGCTTTTCCAGCCCTTTGCCAATAATATCAATGAACAAAATAAGACAAAACAAACAAACAAAAAAGATGTTGCTACTCTAACAGGCGAGATGTGCTAAGTGGCCAATTATGATTTTAATGTGCATTTCTCTGAATCTTGTGTTTATAGATGGACATGGGTTTGAGTTCCAGCTCTGCCTCTTGCTGTAAATTGGAGATAATAATAGTCCTTACTTTATTGTATTACTATGAGGCTCAGATAAGAAAATAAATACAAAGCATTTAGTCCAGTAAAGCCTCAGTACATTTCAGTTACTGTACCTATGAAGAATGACTTAATTTGTGACCATCAGGTAAAGCTATGTGAGATACCTGAAACTCAATGGGATGTTGATTTAAATACCTGTTAGAATTGTGTGGTTCTAGGAATAAGAAAGAATGCAAAAGCCCAATAGGCTCATAACCCTTATCATTAGAGAGGAAATACATTTACCTATTTGGATAGCACCCATTACAAAGGTCTTTCAAATTAAAATAAAACATATGCACATATCTTAAAAGCCAAGAAATATAAAATCAAATCAACAGATAAACTGGGTAGGTAGAACTTGCAGGTTTCTAAGGGTAGTCAGAGGATGCGGAAATGAGTTTTGAAGCCCTTGACATAATATTAAAGACATTGGGGACACTAAGAAGAATGGCTCTTAAAGTCTGCAGCTCCAGGACTTACGTCTGGTAGAAACCACTGATCAAAAGTAATCTGAGTTAACCTGTTGGAAACTTTCTTAGGAGCTGTCTTTCAACTCAGAGAAGCGTTAGAACTAAGCACAGGGAGGCTTAATGAGGTAAGAACTAGGGGATTAATATGTTGGGGTTAAGAAGAAATATGTGCATATTTCACATTTTATACACTTGCAATGTTTAAGAAAATTTGGCTTATTAGACTTACAGCCTTATAACTCTTATTTTAAATGTATATTTGAGTTAGTTTTAGACTTAAGATTTTGCGTTGAAATCTTGCTAAGTTTACACATGGAACTGAGCCATCTAACAGAACTTTAGATTCATTCTATTGTGTTGTCGGAAAAGTCATGACGTATTTTTTCTTTGTTTCGTTGCAAAAATGCATCGTGACTTTTCCGACAACCCAATATTTATTTGTAAGTTTAGCTGATTTATAAGGACTACTAAGCCTTGAACAGGTTCTAGGTCAGACAATGGAAGAAATGAAAAAGAAACGCTATTAAGTTTATAGACAATTTTAAATGTTTGAATATGTTGAATTAACTAGACTTGTGAATTGGACCAAAAATTATTAAAAGTTTCTGAAAAGTGGTAAAATATGCTAGACTTAATTGGGCACTTCTATTAATAGAGAATACAGCAGGAGCACGGTCAGCGTTGGACCCATTAAAGTGTCTGCGGCATTCACAGGTGAAAATGTCCATCACACAGTCAAAAATACCGATTTGGGGCTTCTACAGGGTCTGGTCTGGAGGTACATAGATTTAGGGCTCTCGGGCAGTTTAAAGTGAGCATGGAAGTTACTCAGAAAGAGTGGACAAAGAAAAAACAGAAGAAGGCTGAGGACAGAATT